CATGGATAAACTTCTTTAGCATGTGTTTGATGATTAATAAACAAGAAAACTCAAATTAAACAATAAATATAAGCAAAGCATCAAAATAACGAAATAATTGATATCCTGATCAATGGCAATTTCAGTCTCCCCCTTTTTAATGTTTGGAAACAAGATTAATTTGAGTAACACGGGGCCATGCTCCCCCTGTAACAAATACTTAATCACACGAATTATAGTTTCCAAACGAGAATCTTTTCTTCCACTTTGACAAAACCAAAAAGGAAGAGGGACAAAAACATAAGGAACATATTGTAACATCGCATAACCAATATCAAAAAGATAATCCAGCAAACTCAAAGTGCAATAATGGGAAACACACATCTCAAGCAAATTTAAATGGTTAGAATATGAGAAGCAAATATTAAATGAGTAACAAAGTCAAGGTAGAAATAACCATAATACAACCCATAATGTTTCAACTTGAAGAAAAATAAATTAGATGCAAAAATGATAAGATGCAAAATGATTCATTATGAATCCTCCATCTCAAGGTCCTCATGATTGGCAGACACTCTAGACAGACTAAGTTATGAGCATCAAGTTGGGCAAGAATGAGATCCAGTTTGGCGTGATGTTGTGCAGACAATGTTCGTTGCTCCACCAAAATGCGATCACCCCAGCAATCCAAATCAGCATGAGTAACAACCTCAATGTCGTAGGCAGTGGATGAAGAGGCATCAATCGGGAGTGAGGAAGCAAGAGGAGTATGTTACGGAGGAGCATTTTCAGCATTCACAAAGAAGGTCTCATAAAATCGAGAAAATTGGCCTTGAAAGTACCATTCATTTATGTTTGAGTCAAAGTAGTATTTGCATTGGTGAAGGGTGGAATCATTAAAAGGAGACGGCGCACTGGCCAAGTCACTAAGAATGGAAGCCACGCCAGCCCTACTTAGGATGAATTGCACGAAGGATGGAAAGTAAAGAGTCTTAGAAGCACTGGACTTACACTCCATGATCATGTATACAATAAATTTCACCCAATTCACCTTGGGCTTGTTAAGAAGAACCTGGAGCAAAAACAAATCAAAGTCGTCTACTAGGCCAAAATTATCTTTTCGACGAACCAAAAATGTTGCGATCACCCAATGAATAAATCGACAGTTAACCTTTAACTGTCCAACGGGGAAGTTCGAATACAACATGTCATGATGATACACCATTTTGGAGATCTAAGTCACAAGCGGCGTGCGTTGGTATTCAGATTCCAGTGTTGCTCTAGTAAATTCATATCCAGAATTCTCCAGACCCAAAACATCGTTAAAATCTTGAGCATTGAAAGTGATTTTTTTGTTCTTAAACTCACAAGAGATTCCAGTATCATTGTCAATTGGAACAACACAACAATAAAAAGCTCTAACATGGTGCACATTGAATTTGTGCGATAAGCTTAAGAATGTGTCTAGTTTGTGGTTTTCAAACACCTTAAAAAAAAGTGAGACCTGGTTTAGTAGAAGCTTCTTTGGTGATGTAGTTTGGACCAGACAAGACTTTGGAGAAGAACTTTGCAAGATAAAATTTCTTAAGGTTATCAGAAATTAAAGTTTGAACCTTGTGAAGCTTAACACTTGTGTCTGTAACGGTAGTACCAGTAGAAGATTCACCTCGAGATTGTCTTGAAATGGAAGAACGTTTCTTGGTGACCTTAAAAGAACTAACTTGTTGAGACATTGTAGATATTGTTCTTGAGTCTGAAAAAATTAAGAAGATGAGATGAAGGATGAATGTGTATGAATTAGAATAAAAAATGAAGATGATGTTATGTTGAATAGATGAATGATAATATGAAATGTAGAGAAAAGAAAGAAGTATGAATACAGAAGAAATGAAATTGAAATGAAGTGGAGATAGAAGAAAGAAAAAAAATCAAATAGAAAGAAAAGAAAAGGACACCGAAAAATAAAAAAATAAAAGAATAGAAAGAAAGGAAAGGAAAAAGGCTCTGGTTTGACCGAAAAAAGTTAGTTGACAAAAAATTTTGAAATTTGAATATGTTGGGTGGGGGGAAACCGAACAAAGAGACAAATATGATGTGAATATTTGATTAAAAAAATGATATAGGGTATCGTGACAAGACATGTAGGTAGTAGGTGCATGATGGGAAAACATGATGGGATGGCTAGAAGAGCATGTGGCTCAGCCAGAGGATGTGAGTAAAGGAAGTCTTAGACATGTGCTTTAAGCAAAGGTAAGTCTCAGACATGTGCTCTAAGCAAAGAGAAGTCTCAACCAGAAGACAGATGAACAGGCGGCTCAGTCAGATGGTATGAGCAAATGTTAAGTCTTAGACATACGCTCTAAGCAAGAGAACTCTAAGACAGTTAGTCTGAGCAGTTGTAAAAGTCTTATGCAGAAGCATAAGCGATTGTAATCATAAAGTGGTTATAATGAAAATCTCTTGTGATACAAGGGGATTGGACTACTCTCATTTAGGGGAGGAACCAGTATAAATCTTGTGTATTCTGCTGTTATTTTATTTACTTATGTTGTATCCGCTGCCAAAAGAATTAACTCAGAATCTGAACATCAGTTCTAATTCTAAAACTCTGATCAGAAGCTAAATAATAAGAAAACGTGAAACACAATTCAACCCCCCCCCCCTTCTTGTGTAATTTTCACACCTTCAAGTGGTACCTACATTGTTAAAATTGGGTATAAGTTGTGGATGAGTACTCAGAGTAGTCGAATAGGGGGAGTTGTCGAAAGGGGGTGGGGGGTAGATTGTGAAGAATAAAAGTCCCGCCAAAAGTTAAACATTTACTTTGGAGAATATGTCGTGGATGTCTTCCTACTCTAGATCTCCTGAGACAACACTATGTTTTTTGTCCCATTATTTGTTAGTTATGAAGAAGGGGTGGAAGATGAGTGACATGTTTTTTTTATTGTGTCAATTCATCCCAATGTTGGAATGTAGCGGGTTTGGGGAACATAGTTCTTCCTCGATTACAAAACTTCAATGGTGTTAGGTTAATCGTTCAAGACATATGCAGTAAGGAAGATGAGAAGGTCACAGGTAAAGTAGTTGTGATGAGGTGTTATGGAATAATATAAATAATTGGGTTTGGAATAATGAGAAGGATTAAGCGAGTAAATTAGGTTTGCAGGCATTTCATAGTTTGAAAGATTAGTTTACAGCACAAACATTTCATTTCAATAATAACATTGATCAACAACCCAGTAAGCAAAATGTATGGCAACCACCTAGAGTCGGATGGGTAAAATGTATTGTTGATGTTGAGTTTAAAAATAAAAAAGATACAACGAATAGAGGATGGTGCTATAGAGATTGGAACGGTGGATTCATCATGGCGGGTAGTGCTTAGGATGTAGAGCGGTACTCCATATTAGAGGGTGGGGCTCTGGCGTTGAGAGAAGCCATGATGGAAGTAATTCAATTACAAATTAAGTTTGTTATTTTTTAGAGTGATTCTCAATTGGTGGTGCAAGCTTTACACATAACAAGGAAGATAACTCAAAATTTAGCATGATTATTTATAGTATTAAATCGTTATTAGAAGTTCATCCCGACTTTGAGATAAAGTCTATTAAACGCCAAGCCAATTTGATCGTTCACTTGTTAACAAAAGCGGCTAATTCTTAGTTTAGGCGTAGTAATTTTCAAATTTTAGCATGATTATTTATAGTATTAAATTGTTATTAGAAGTCCATCCCGACTTTGAGATAAAGTCTATTAAACGCCAAGCCAATTTGATCGTTCACTTGTTAACAAAAGCGGCTAATTCTTAATTTAGGCGTAGTAATTTTCATTTAATACCTCGTTGTATTGAACATCAATTGATTAATGAAATAATATGATTTTATTTGTGCTAAAAAAATTGATTCTAGTATATGGCATTTTAATTTAATCACATCATTATATTATTTAATTGATAACATATTTATTTAACATAAATGATCTATAATATAAGATTTTTAAAATAAAAAAAAATCTAATTTATAACAATCTTAATATCAAAGGTTATTACAAAAACATACTTTCATATTATTCTCTAAATTGAGAAATAAACACACTATAATAAATTTAAAATATATATAAAATTATTATGAAAATACATTTCCAAATTAATTTTTGACAAAATAAAATTGGTGACTCACTTATGATATGGCGTATTTGAGGTGCATTCATAATTATACTTTTGAAAATTTTCAAAATGAGAACAATTTTAAATTTTAAAAGGGTAGCTCTTCTACCCGAAGAGTGAGAAGAGCAACCCCTAACGTCAATCCCCCTACCCATCCAAACATTCACATGTCATCTTCTCATTTAAACAATGTTCGAGTTTTATTTAAAGTAATTGTGATGATTGTATCAGCATACTTCCAAAGAAAACTGGCCACGTTCTATTGAACTTTGAAGTTTCCAGACAAGACACCGCACTCAATAGAACAACTAAGCGTTAACCAAGTCATATCAGATTAATTAGATATAAATGGTAGTAAATTCAACGAATGCAGAATAATGACAACCAATAAACATGAAAACACGTGCAAACTCGTCACAACTTGGGGTTTTGACAACTCACAGATGAATTCTTAATTCTCAGTTGCGGCAACCAATAAACAAGTTTCAGATCCTATATCAGGCCAGTAATTGAAGATACAAGTCAACCGCTGCTAGGATAAGGATTATCCTCTCTGTATAGTATTAGCAACTGTTGACTTACAACAAAAGAATATACTAGTTCTAAATACTACATTTGGAAAAATGCATGAAAGCCCTTTTCCAATAGATATTATCTTTTGAATGGGTTTGAGAAGAAATCCTGTAAGAAATCTAAGTTTAATAAGAAAAAACCATGCCCTCTCCCACTACAATAAACTCCATAAGTATATAAAATGACGATAGTTTATGTAAACAAATCCCAAAATTCAGCAAATGTATGAGCAGCAGCAAGAACTTTCACCAAGAATCTAACAGTAGACAGGTGAACTTGCATACTACTCCACCACTCTCTCAGTGGCATAAGAAACCTTCTGCAGTATCATAGATTCAGCCGTACGAATTGATCTCTGCGATCCTGTTATGGTAACTTTCCTGTATAACAAGGAAAAAGAAACACCCATAAAACATCAGCTGTTAAATAAATGAGAATATGAGAGGGCATACACTGCCGGTGCAAATTAGTTTTAAACTGATATTCAATAAGCCCTTTCTTTTGCCACATCACAGCAGTTATTTTAAGCTATAAGAGTCAGTGACATATCAGAATAATGGATTCTCATTGGACACAAGTGTAAAGACAGTTTATCCCCTTTAAACTCTAAATATATTATGCATAGACATTTGATGAATGGGGGGGGTATAAGGGACAAAATTGTAAGTAAACAATACTAACCTATCAGTTGTTCCAGATATGTAATCGCCCCTATCTGATATCTTTATCTTTGCTCCACTAACCTGAAAAGGCAAAAGTTAGTCAAGTTAGTTTGTTATACAAGTGATCACATCATACCATGTAAAACCATTAGGAATTGGCAAAAACCTGACTAATATCAGATATATTCCTTCCACCACGGCCAACAACCAACCCTATATGCTCATCTGCAACACCAATGGTCATTGAGTTGCTTCTATCCTCCTGGAAAACAACAAAGGAGGGTGTCAGTTCAAGCTCAGAGAGCAAATCACCATCAAATGTGGATGCATGGTTACATAGTTTTTTCATTCGCCATTGGTAATAGACATATTAGTATATAACACAGCAAGTCACCACTACACGAGGATACATGGTTTTAAATAAAGATATGTAGCTTTTTTTATTCAAATATTTCACCATCGATAATAAACGTATAAGTATATAACTCATGATAGCATATTGAATTTAGGTGAGAAAATTGTAAAAGAACAATAAAGGTGGTAAGTGAGCCAGTTATAGTAACAAACCCCTCAAAACATGAAACTGTTTTTCATGCTCATTTAACAATATATCCGCCAGGGTTCTCATCATGGTTCAAATGTCACACTATAGTTACAACAATTTTAAACCATTTGTTTGCCTTTAGGCAAGACACATTACAAAGTGAACCAAAAACAATTATAAAAAAACCTTTGAGACTATGAACGACGTAAATATTTCAGAGGTTTGATTCCTAAACCATCATATCTATGCAGCATCTTTCCTTCCAGTCTTCCAACATGTAGGTACCCATTGAGGTCAGCAATTATTACTATTAGTGATGAACAGACATGTACCAAAAACACAAATCGGCACCCTTTTAGCTAATTAGATACTTCAGGTCAACATAAAAGTGCCATATGAAGTTCTTTAAACACAACAACAACAACAACGAAAAACTTTAAATGCCACATTTTGTTTTTTAGAATAATTTCCGTGTCTCTAATCTACATTTCTTAAGATTAAAAACTAATCTACAGTGGCATCAAACAGCATACTCTCAATCTGCAATTACAAGTACAAAAATATATCAATTATGTTGCAATGACTGGGGTATAGCTTACTCTACATTCAATTTGAATGTGTGAGTGAGTCTGAAAACTTGGAAACTTGAAACATTAGAAACCATTGACAAGTTTAAATGGATGGAATGAGAAAAACCTTGCTGTTTTGGAATTTTGGTCCAGTACCATTAGGTCTGTAACTCACTCCGTTGTATGCTGGTGGTGCAACAGATGGAAGAACATATGTATATGGAACACCCTGATAACCCGAGACATAAACACCTAAAATGCATGTTAAGAAGTTATATTTATATTTAGCATCAAACTCGCTAAGTTATTTAAACAGACAAAACATATTAAATCTACACTACCATCACTTTACTACCATGAAAAATAGACAATACCCTCATATTTTAGAAAATCAATAACTCCCAAAAATGGGTATATAACTGTATTATAAATATTCTATGCAATGTTGTCTTGATACAGGCATCAATGATAATACATTGCCGCTCTCTATTTCAGAAAATGTCACAGTTAGGAATGCAAACTAGTCTTGGTCCTCAACACATTTGGCATAATACCAAAATCATTATCACCAAGAGTTTGATCCTTGCCACTCTTAATCTTACAGAACAACAACCAGTATTTTTTTCACTAAGTAGGGTCGGTTATCGGTGTATGAACCTTGCAGCTATTATTCCTAAAATTCGAATGCCATTAAAATATATCTACTCTTCTTTAACTTCTCATGTAAGTCCTCCTTATCTGGTGAAATCGAAAGGTATCCTATAAACTGCAGTTGTTAGTCAAATGGATTGTGAAACCATTTTGATCACACTTTATCTTCACATACACATGGATACTGTGTAGCACCGACACCTCTGAAAAAAGGCGTGTCCGTGTCTGTGTTGGACACCTGCATCGACACTTGTGATTACGTTTAATTTATTCAATATTTTAAATTATTAATGGTGTCGCCGTGTCAGTATCGGAGACGTTTTCGGCATGTCCGTGCTTCATAGCATGGATATGTTATATTTTGAAATAGTATACTATTTGACTTTGTAAAGAGAACACTTCCTTACCATTCCTGTCTCTGATGTAAAACTAAATAATACTGTCAATAGAAAGACAGATGGGCCCAGCTCATTAAAAAAAGGAAAATGGTATAAATGTACATGAATTTAACAGGCTAAATTAACAATAAGTTGGGAAGATATACTAGTTAGGGTAATGTCTCTATCTACTTCCTTCCTGCAGCAAAGGTGAAAGACTGTAATCTCAGGGATCCATACATAAACAGGGCTAATGAAGGACATTGAAGAGTCATTATAATGATTAGAAACTACTGTCATCATCTATATATTAGGTGCTTCAAAATCAATGAGTATTAGACAAAATCCAAAAATGGATAAGAGATGTTCTGTGGGACAAATAAATGACACTGACCGGAATATGAAAATGGAGCATTCATTGACTGCGAATAATGAGAATCTTCAGCTAATTTAGAAACAACTAAATCAACAGCGCGCATCTGCTCATCAAGAGTTCCTGTCACTGTCACTATCCTATCATTCTGTCCATAGTAACTATTATCTTGAGGAGATATTTTAATGCCAGCTTGAGAGTCTTCAATGAATGACCTGATCAAAAGCAAAGAATGCATAACGTGAGCTTTTTAGCCCTATCTCTGAATAACATAAAATATATAAAAAGAGTCCTGCAATGAAAAATAACAGTTGGCCTAACAGTGACATGCTTATTTTCAGTTGTAGGGGAAATTTAGGTCTAGGGAAATAAAACCTCAGACACCAAAGAATCAGCACTCATATAAGAAAGAACCACTTAATGTCAAAACATATTCCCAAAACACATATCTGAGGCATAAGTTATCAAAAACTAATTGGATTGGTACTAATAATTTCAAAAATATGGCAAACAAGTAGGCCCTACAACTTGACAAAGAAAAGGAATGGTACCTAATGGTAGCACCTCCCTTGCCAATTATTCCACCACAAGAACCATTAGGAACAACGAGTCTCACTTTAGTTTTTGGTTCAACATCATTGTCATCCTCGCCATGAAGCTAATAATTGAAGGAAAATTAAGCCCAGAAGTGAGCAATGCAATACATTTTTTATTCCAGTAGCTAATTAAATCAATATCACCGTGATTACCTCACTGAGCAACTTTGAAAGAATGAGCTCTACAGCCCGTAGTACTTCAGTGATAGCACCAGATACCATGATAATCCTATCAGTAGTTCCAGGGAAGAATTCATTATTGCGTGACAACTGAATCCGTGCTCCAGATTGTGACTGAAAATCAGTGATAGTCGAACCACCCTTTCCAATGACAGAACCAGCTGCAGAGTTTGATACCAAAAACCTAACGTATGTTGGCTTTTCCACAGAATCTGAAAGAAGTAAACAATATGTAAAGATTATCACAAAGAATCCATTAAATACTTTTACATATTTAGAGATCAAAATATAATTGGCGTAGTTGGGAAGGAAATAAAAATAAATCAATTTAAATTTCATAGGTTTACATAAGCATTCTAAAAATTATATCATTGCATTTCAAGAAACAATATACTTTCATACCCGTAAAACAAAACAAAACAAATGCAGAGTTCATAAATCAAATCTTACCAAGCAACAAAGCAACAAAGTCCTAAGTTAATCAAATATAGGTGTAAACGGTGAAGGTTGTTTTGCCTCCCAGTAACATGAATGGTTAGTAAAACATCATATTTTGATAAATTGAAAACAAAAACATTGTATCCTATAGCATAATTCTCTTCACTATATTTTATACTTACAAACAATTTGGCCCAATGAAAACCGATTGTGCTTCCTTTCAATACCCAATATGAAAAATAAAACCATAAGACAAACTAAACCCTGAATTTTCCACTCCCAATTCTAAGTGGATACTATATCGGATAAGACCTCAAAGATAATAGTTAGAGTGAAATTTTAGTTGTGTGATAAAGCTCAATTCTAATTTGGTAATAGTATATAGTAGTAGAATATATCTTAAATTTATTAAACCCCACTTTAACTCCAACCTTTCTCAACATAGAAGCTTCTCTGAAAATTTCAATTCAACCCAGTGTTGTAAATTGCAAATCATGAAAAATAGAGGTTTGCTCAAATTCCTCTTCACGACAGTGTCATAGCACGCCATTATAGCCAATATTTCACGGCATATAAAGAAGTTAAAAAAAAAACGAGTATATTTTCCTTCACACCAATTAACTTGATGAGCATAGCTTTGTTTGACATCTGTAAAATTAAGAACTAAAGAAACGTATATATTCAGAAAATTTACTTCGCTCCAAAATCATAAAGCTAATCATTCAACTACCAAAACAGAATATACTAAATTTAAAATTTGATAAGCGAAAAATCACATCCACACGCGATGAAATAACACGATAACGTGTCAACTCATTGAATAAAAAAAGCAAATCTAATATAGGAAGTAACATTGTGAATAATTAGGGTTGGAAATGAAAACGTTGACCGAAAAATAGCACCACCGACATTCAGTAACCTAGCTACATTACAGTGTAGATAAAAGAGATAGCAAAGGAAAACATCGAGAGAAAACAGATCAGATCGGATGAGATAGATACCTTGAGAAGGTGATTCCGGAGGAGGTGAAGAAGCGTGCTTCCTCGGTCCTTCTGGAGATGAGACGTAAGAAGATTCAGTCGACTCCATTGTTGTTCTTCTTCTTCGTCTTCAGCAAAAGAACCTAATTCTCACTCCTTCGTTTCAAAGAGCGAGAGAAAGAGACGGTTAATTTCAGAGAGAAAAGTGAGAGAGAAATTTCATAGTAATGGCGTGACGTGAGAAATGAAAAGTGATAGAGAGAATTGAAAAAGGTGAAAACGGCGGAGATGGAAGAGAGAGAGGGGGTTGAACCGGAGATGAGAGAGAGAGAGAGGAATGAGAAGGAGAGAAGAAGTTGCTGCTCTGAAGTTTTGGGTTGTTTCTGCTCTCTACAACGTCAGGTTTCTTTTTGTTTATCTATCGATAATATTATGCTGCGTGATGTGTCTATGTGTGTGCGTGTTTACGGGTAAGTGTGTGTGTGTTTTCTATTGCTATGAGTGCAAAATTGATCACGTCCATTGATTCACGCAGTTGCTCCATTCATTTTGTCTAAAGATTAAAAATGTACCTTTGAAATTAGTTGGATAACCATACCTTCAATCAATCAAATATTACTATTTAATATCACGTCACTTTATTATTTTATTTTAATTTAAAATAAATTAAACTATTTTTGCAATTTGCATTAAAAATACCATCAATATAGATTCATGCAACCAAAAAATTTACCTTTTTATTTTCTTTTTTTAAAACAAAAGAGGACTTTTACAAAATTAATTTTATTACTTTATTGATTTTTTTTATAATTTATTTCGTTCGTTTTTATTATAATTTATATGTATATAATCATTTTATCAAATTATAAATTATTTTATTATACAAATAAATTATTAATATAATCGTTCTTTCAATTCTTAAATGTTCTTTTTTTTATACCATTAATGGAAAATAATTTTGTAAATTTTTTTTATAATTTTTTATTTTTATACAACAATTATTATATTTTTTAATACGTGTGAAAATATCAAAATCACTTGTAATAAAAAACGAAGACATTGTAATTATATATTTGTAAAGGTTTATCATAAGGTTGACTCAATGGTATAACTTGCGTCTTAAAGACGCCGCCCACGACTCATATTACTCACCCGAAGTGGGAGGATGTGGGAGGTGAAGTGTTTTTGTTATAAGTGGTGCAGAAAAAGAGTACGGGGAATAACACACGATTTTTTAGAAAATATGAATTTAACAATCCATTCTTTTTTACTAGCGGTTTTTATTTTTGAGAAACCATAAATTCAGGTCCATGAGCCTCTATAAATACTCCGACCAGATGGTGGAGAATGACAATCACACATTCATACAAAAACACATCTAAAACATAGTTTCTCACCCTCATAAGGTTGCTTTAACCCCACAAAAACACTAAAGCCTCTGCCAACTCCTACTAGCTTAGGGTTGCAACGCATTTGTATTTTTTTTAGCAAGTATGGTGGCGTCCACCGTAGGATCCATATAAGATTGACATGACTCACACCTTACATTATTACTACCACTTTCATAGTTTTCTCTTAAAAATGTCCAAAAAGTATCCAAGTTCCATGGTTAACACCATTGTCGCAAGTTTTGTTGACAAAAATATTCCAACTCCTCCATGAGAAAATACGTCAAACAAGTGTTGGTTGCGAAAATATCCCACAGCCTCTCCAGAGCCGCGCATAGGGGGTCGGGGTTTATAATCGTTTTCTCTAGTAGTGCATCATTAGTGTCTACCCTGACGACAACGACCATGTGTTCATCACGAGAATATACGATAATTAGAATGTCAAACGAGTCTTGATAGATCATGGAAACTTAGCAGACATCTTATTTTGGAAAATCTTTCTAAAACTCTAACTCGATCCTATAAGCATTAATACATTATAGGGCTCACCAATGGGCTTGTCAAGCAAGTCGGTACAAGTAAGAGGTCACATAACCCTTGAAACAACCTGTGGTGCAGGAGTAGGTTTCAAAGCAATCAAAGTCAATTATCTTGTGGTGGGCGCCTTATCGCTCTATAACTTCATCCTTGGCAGACCAGCCATCAATTTGTTATGGGTGATTATATCCACTCAGTACCTGACCCTGAAATACTCATTACCTAGCGGGCTAATGCAATCACAAGTGCACGGTTGTGCGAAGTAGTAAAAGATATCGAACCACAAAGATCAATGGCTTAAGTACTGAATTTTGTCTTATCAGTATATATCTAGAGAAATCAAAAATGTGGATTTTGGTAAAACAACTTAAATGAAAAAGCACTTAAATGAAAACAACTCATTTGAATAATCATTTAGATCTCAATTAGGACAATAGGACTTGGGGTTACGGTTCTTACTCTAGCTCAATCACATGATCCATGTCACTTTTATTACGAGAATTCCACATAAATTTTAGAAAATAGATAAATATAGGTATGATCTACTTTCGCTAGTGCATTGCCCTATCGAAGATGAGTAATCTGTCTACTTTCGAACGGTCGGATTATTCTTCAACGATTCGTTACTTTTGCTCAACTATATAGTTTTCTCAATTTCGTCCAAGTGCTTTCGCTGTTTCGGACTCGGTTATTTAAAAATTTGTGTTCTGGTATCAACACATATTCTTTCAGATTACAGACGATACCTAAGAACCATTTACTTTCGTAACGAAGTTGGAACGCATGAACTCAGATTATAAAATAATTTTAAACTAAAATTCTCGTAATCGATAGTTACGGATCATACAATAGCTAATCCTTATAACCCTCAGTCCATAATGAACTACTCATTCATGGTGAGGGTAAACAAAACCAAATCGATATTCATTATCAAAGTCATATCAAAAATTATAATATGTGAACAATTGAAGAATAATGAATAAAAAACATGAATTAAAATTAAGTTTTGATCTATAATTTTTCCCTTTGAGACTTGAGTTATAGAGAAAACGAAGAAGAAAAAATGTACGTAGAAAATTTCTGGAATAAAATTTGTCTCCTAAAACTCATAACAGGCTATGAGTTTTATAGAAAAAAGTAAAATTGCACAAAATTCTTAGTTTAATCACTATCCAATCATATTTGCATCAGATTAAATATTGCTTAAGAGTCATAGTAAAGGAGAATCATTCCAAATAAGGAAACAACAAACTTTTCTCGCCCTCCTACTACAGCCTGTAACAGATGTTACAGGTGGTTGTAGCAGGCCTTCGTCTTTTATACTGGGAAAGGTTTCAAGGGAAACTCTGGGGTGTTTTACTGCTACGGATGGTTGTAGCAGCGTCATACCCCAAGTTTGTCCTACCGGTATATACTTTCATCTGTACATTTGTCCGTCAACTATTATTTAGAAAAAATAAAAATAAAAATATGTGTTACTTCTATTTGTTGTTCAAATTTGAGCAAGGCTGAATTCAAGGTGCCTGGTCAAGTATGTGTGTGGCATGTGCTTGAGGATTCAATTGGACTTTATACCTATGTGAATTATCTGTGTACGAGTCAGACTACCAGGTTGTGATAAGTGCAAATGTTTCATGAACAAAGATCATCAGAGATCAGTATATTTTCAAATTAGGGCATTGCAGTACAATTCATATATCAAGTCATAACGCTTTGATTTCAAAATGTTCTTACTCAATAAGGTTTAAGGTAAAAGTTGTGGCTTCTCGGAGTTCAAGTGGAAAAGTTTAAGGTTTAATTCAGTAATGGATTCATTTTGAGTCAAGATAACGTGAACTTTTCAAAAGGTCACATATTGATTCATGTTTGGATTTATTTTCTCAAGAATAAACTCAAGATTTTAATGAAGTATTCGAGAGTGGTGCAAATAATAAGTCCCTTCAAATTGCTCAAAAACAAGTAATGAGGAAATCTTACAAAATCAAAAGGGGCAATATGAATTACAATAAGGTCCATACATTACAATGAAGGGCCCATGTTATTACAAAAAGAATATACACAAGCAAAACAAAAATGCCAAATGAAGGAGCCCATGAATTACAATTGGAAGGTCCATATCATTACAAGCTTATCACGGAAAAAAAACAAAAAAATAAGAGAAATGAGCCAAGAGCTGGGAGATACTCCATGATCCATATAACCGTCGCACATCACCAAAGCACTGCATCAAAAATCATGTTGTCAATAGGTGCAGACTTGCTGTAAAATCATAAGGACGGAAACGACGAAACCATACATAACCACAACCGAAGGAAACATGTAGTAAAAAAAGGACAATCCCAGAAACAACATAACGTGTGTGTACCTCACCGCAACAACAATAGTTTACACAGACCCTCACATCCTGGCACCCTGTTTTGTGAAACGAATTACGCATAACAAACGACAAGATTCGTACGATGCCAAAACCAGTAATTTCCAGCTCACACAATAAAGGTCTTATAAATCACTCGACAATCACAAACCTCAAAGGGGACCTTTCCATGTCAATGCTTTCACAATCGAAAAAAAATTTCTTCTCTCCACAATCTCTCCGACCATGAATCGGTTTGCCCTCCCCTTTCACAAAACCCCAATGATACGAAACAACCCCTCTTCTTCAAACCTCAAAACCTCAGCCTCAAACCCTTCCTCAACCAAGCCTTTACCTCATACCTGGCCCGATTTCATCCTAAAATTGACCCAACCTCTTCAAATAATAACAACTTCAAACCTTAAATCAAGACTTAATCGAAGTCTGCTTCAAACCCACAACAGAACCCGAATCGAGAGGAAATAGCGAAAAGAGAATGAAATGAAGTGAGATTAACCGTGAAAACCAAACAAAATCAATAACGGACCTAAGATGAGATCCGAAACGGAAAGAGGTAAAGAGGTTCGCGTCGCTGGAAGCTTGTCTCCACGGCCATCGCAAGTCTTTGATAACATTGTGTTGCTTTGTTCTTGATGGAGTTATTTTTGCTATTGGGTACCGTGTTTTTTTTCTTTTTCTTTTTCTTTCCTTCTTTAAAAAAGGGAAGGCGACTTTTGAAAAGGGTAGATTAATACCCTTGATGTTTTCGTTGAGCTTTTTGAGCTCGTTTGATGCTCCTCCATACCCCCTTTTTTATTTATCATTCGTGTC